TATATTAGAAAATTCACTGAATATGTACAAATAATTGCTTTCCAACCCAGTAAATCAAATGATTCCGAACTCAAACCCATAAAGTTTAAATTCTAGTTCCGCATATATCAAAAAAAAAGTATGATAAAAGAGAATTGGGGAGTAAGTGTTAACCTCTAATAACTCATGAGTCCTCTTCATATTCAACCTACACAAGTCCTCACAGGTAATCTTAACGAGCTCGATACGCCTCCATCTTTCATGAATACCATTCACAATCCCCTCAGTAATCCCAGCTTTACCTATCTTCAATTTTTTCCTTAACCCAATCCCAAGTGTCCTCAGCCTCCTCAACTCTTCAGCTGGCAAAGTCAATTCAGCTAAACTAGGCGCTCTCTCTTTCTTACTATCCTTATTCTTCAGCCTTTCTTTCTCCTTCTCCTTTAAAAAATTACCCCTCAGTTCATGAAACTTCTGTATACTGTTCCCTAAACCGGGTTGTGGTACCGGGTTTTCGGGCGTGCTCCAACTGACGTCAAGCGTGTGACCCACACGATACTTGGGTAATTGGTTAGGCAAAGGAACAAAAATTTGGCCAGGTGAGGAAGAATTGGGATTTGGGCTTAAAGAATTTTCTTCTAGGGTTGTTTCTTGGTTTTTGGGGTTTTCAGTTATATAGCCGAGGCTGCGGAGTTTGTTGGCGATTCTTTGAATGGCGGATTCAGGTAAAGGTGAAGTATTATTAGGGGAAGTGGCGAAAACGGGAATGGAGAAACGGGAAAAGAAGGGTTTAAGGGAAAGAGGGTGTGTGGTGGAGAAAAAAGGAAGGGAAGGGGAGGGGTAAAGGAGGGTTTTGGGAGGGTTTAAGGGATGGAAGTTGCAGAGAGGAAGCAACATTGGTGTGGAGAAGACAGTGGCAACTGATGCTATCCTTAGTCCTCACATGAGATGATCAAATGTTAGGAATTTTAGATGTTTGCCTCTGCTATCTTTTGGAGTTAAATGGCCTTGATTCATGTCTATACTACAACAAAAACAACCCACTATTTGGAGAAACAACCCACTGGAGAGATAATGTATACGCAAACCTTATACCTATTCTGGAATGGAGATTTGTTTTCAAATAGACCCCGACATTATTCCCTCCGAAAACTTGTCACATTGATATTGATTCATGTTTATGTGGATTAAAATTGTAGTTAGTGACTGTATGAGCTCCACTAACTTATATAGAGAGGAGATACATCAGCATTAAGTGGGCCCCTTATTGAAATTAATAAAAACACAAAGGTTAGTTACAAATTTTAGACTGATTCAAGGTTATAATTTAAAATAAAACATGATAGTATTTTTATTATAGATAAAATATTAAATAAAAAAATAAATTAAAATAAAATGTTATAGTAGGGAAAAAATGTACAAAGAGGAAAATAGAGATCCGCTTATACTTTAAATTAATTTAAAAATAAATAAATAAAATAATTAATAATAATAAAAGTATTATTAATAAATTTAAATGATGAAGGAGTTCGAGTAAAAGAATAAAAGCATAATAATATATTACTAATTTTTAAGAATATTTCTTTAATATTTATCGATGATTATTAGAAGGGTAATAAGCTACACATTAAGTCGATATATAAACTAATAAAAGATCACGTGGTAGAATAATAATATTAAGTAATGAATACTATAATAACTATAAGCAACAAACAAAACAATTGTGTAAAATGTATAGGAATAAGACTTATTTGAATTTAGGATGAAAAATAAAGTGTTAGTAAGAATTTTATAAAATAATATGATTCAATATGCTCAAACAAGACAGATCACAGCATGATATTTCAATATTCTGCAAAATTGACAACAAAATAATGCAAGTTTTAAATCAAGGGGGTGGATTATTACAAATATATATTAAAAAATAGGTTATCCTCTATGAAATTTGAGAAATAGTTTCATATCATGCCTCTTAATTAATAGAGAATATTAAATATAATTTTTATCTCGACAATTTAAAATTTAAGGTTATTTGCACATAATTCAAATAACTCAAATTAAAATTTGACATAATTTGTGTTCGCATGTTACGCGGGTACTGTCATGGGCGGCTTTCCAGCCATGCCCCCTTGGACGCGCCCCATGACGTCCTAGCAAGCCTCCCAACGCCTAGCACCATGGACGACCCCGTGGTCTTGGCTGCGCCAAGTGACAAGCGCGCGTGCCTCTGTAGCCCCACCGATAGCCCTCTCCAGCGTCCAGCAGTAGGCAGATGCCAACAGCGATGCACGCGCAGACCGTGATGCCAAAAGGTTGCTGACAACGGGCATGTTTCTACCTTGTAGAAAACTAAGTCATTTTCATTGTAAATATAGAATAATTTTATTTCATTTACTTCCATTAGGATTCTCTAGCTTAGTTACGTTAAGTCTTGTAACTTTGATTTATTTATTTATTTTTGCACTATTAGGTGGGATCAAGCAATCAAACTTTCTAGCAAGTAAACAATTCTCTGTACTGGTGTCTCTCCCCTCGACACCATGTTGCCTTTCTGTAATAGCTTTCATTAATGCAATCAAGCTTTCTTTCATTCTCATTTCTATTCTCTCAATTGCTCGACATTGGTTTTCATGTACGGAACTGACAATCTCGTCTAGCGTACGGATGGGACCTCTGTTGGCGGTTAGTAACTGCACTAATATTGGTTGCTTAGCCTTACGTTGCCCTTTCAAAGAATCTAAGGAAGACGCCGCGTAATAGTTAGTATCAGAACCTAGGCTCGACATCGGACAATGGAACATATTGCCATTACCACCATTTCTGACCATGGTGAATCATGGGGACCTCATTGCGGCCCTTGAAGAAACGGTTGACGTATTACGGCCTATCGTGGATACGGTGCCTAAACTAAGAACTAGCCTAGTGCAAAGGTTGGACGACCTGGACCGCAGAATGCTCCAGGCCAAAGTTGACATAGAAAACATTAATCGTAACTCTAAAGGAGACCGCAAATGGAAACCATAGAGGCAGCTGAAATTTTTGGTAAATTCTAGGGCCTCCAACAGGAGCGTGCCGAGGATTTAGCCTACAGGGCAAAAGAGGCAGACATGGTGACAGCCATGCAACAAACTATAGACAACTTGACAGGCCAGCTTAATTTTATCAATGCTGCTTTACAGGCCTGCTTCGAGGAGGCAGAAACCAAATTGGGGGTGTTGTGAACCTCGCCCCTATGGCACAAAAACTGAAAATTCCTGAGCCAAAGCCATACAATTGAGCTCGGAATGCCAAAGAAGTAAAAACTTCATCTTCGACATCGAATAGTACTTCGATGTCATTAGGGGCCTAGAAAAAGCTAAGAAGGTAGCAACTGCTGCCATGTATCTTCAGGGTGATGCTAAACTCTAGTAGGGGTGAAGTACAAAGCCATCAGGGCTGGTGAAGATGCTCTAGAGATATGGGCAGAACTGAAGGCAACCATACGCCTACAATTCTTCCCCGAAAATATTGAGTACAATGCGCGGAGAAGCTACGGGAGCTCCGCCAGACCAAGTCAGTGCGGGATTACGTGTCGGAATTCTTCGCGCTCATGCTGAACATATGGGATATAGGGGACAAAGACAAACTCTTCACATTCTTTGAAGGTTTGAAACCTTATGCCCGTATGGAGCTGCAAAGACAAAGGGTAGATACCTTACCCAAGGCAATCCAAGCAGCAGGGTGCCTTGGAGACTATCAAGTGGAAGCTCGGAAAGATATGTCTCAACCGCCTGCCCGAGCGGAATACAGAGGGGGCCAGCCTAGCAATGGTGGCCCTAGCAGAAGTGGAGGAGATCAGAGTGCAACCAAATCTAAGGCTCCTTCCTCAGGTAGAAATAGTGTTGCGTCAAACAACAATGATCATGGAAGAAAGCCCCCTTCAGGATGTCGTCATTGTGGCGGACCACATTGGAATAATGAATGCCCAAATGCACAGATGAACTCCCATCAAGCTTTTGATGATTGGACAGATGACGACGCAGATGATGCTGACCATACCTAACTAGTAGGTGCCTTCAATGCAATTGTTGGCTCTATTTCTGAGGACTTAGCGGGAACCAGTGCTGGTATCCATAAGAAGAAGGACTCATGCCCAATCACTAAGAAAGGGAAAAGAAGACGGATGAGTGGACTCCTCTTAAACAAGAGACGACATTAATGTTCATCGAGATGAGGGTAAATGGCAAGCCTATCCGGGTGATGATTGACACGGGTGCTACCCATAATTACTTAGCCTCGACTCAAGTGGAGCGCCTTAGTCTAGTTGTAGGAAAGGACAGAGGTCGTGTCAAGGCTATCAAATCACCTCATCAACAAGTAGATGGAATAGCCAAAGAAGTACCAGTGAAGCTTGGTCCTTATGAAGGAAAATTTAACATGCGCATGGTGATCATAGATGACTTAGAGTTAATAGTTGGGTTGGAATTCCTAAGGCAAACCAACACCATGCCCGTACCATATGCAGACATGCTACTGATGATGGGAACAAACCAAGCCAAGTCCTGCATTATCCCCTGCATGCCCATGAATATGGCCGCTGAGAACATCTCGGTCTTGCAGTTGAAGAAGGGGGTCAAAAGACATGAACCTACATTCCTGGTTACGCTCTGTATTGAAGATATAAAACACTCCTGGGGTCTCATTCCTGCAGCCGTGAAGGAGCTGCTACTGGAGTCTGAAGACGTCATGCCACAGGATATGCCAAAGCGACTCCCGCCTAGGCGCATTGTGGACCATGAGATTCATTTGGTGCTGAGTGTGAAGCCACCCGCCCGGGCGCCTTACAGATTGTCACAACCCAAACTCACCGAGCTTCGGAGACAATTTACGAAAATTCTAGACATAAGGATCAACGTGCCCTCCAAGTCCATATACGGGTCCTCTATGCTATTCCAAAAGAAACATGATGGAAGCCCACGACTCTATGTCGATTATCGGGCTCTAAAAAAATCACCGTGAAGAACAAGTACCCTAATCCGCCAATGGCAGACTTGTTCGAAAAACTGGGTGGTGCGACAGTTTTCTCCAAAATAGACCTGAAGACATGTTATTGGCAAGTTCAGATTGCGGAGGTTGATGAACACAAGACGACTTGTATGACAAGATATGGGTCGTACGACTTCCTGCTTATGCCATTCGGCTTGACCAACGCTCCATCCATATTTTGCACCCTGATGAACCAAGTCTTCCGAGAGTACATTAATGAATTCGTGGTGGTCTACTTGGATGACATTGTGGTATATAACCAAACACTGGGAGAACATCTGGAGCACTTGCGAAAGGTCCTAGCCCGATTACGGGAGCACGAATTATATGCGAACATATGGAGCTCCTTTGCTTAAAAACATATTGACTTCCTTGGCCATGTCATCGAGGAAGGGCGGATCAAGATGGACCAACAGAAGTTTTCAGGCTATCACAGATTGGTCGTCATCTAAGGATATCTACTCCTTGAGGGCGTTCCTTAGCCTATACAACTTCTATCAGTGATTTGTGAAAAATTACTCCCTCATCGCAGTTCCATTGACAAAACTCCTCAAGAAGGTCATGCCTTGGGATTGAGGACCAAGGCGAGCGGAGGCCTTCAACGCATTAAAAGTGGCTATGTCTAGTAGCCCCGTCTTGTCCCTCCCTGATTTGGCCAAGCCATTCGAGGTACAAATGGATGCCTTTGACTATGCCCTTGGCGGAGTCTTGCTACAAGATGGGCATCACGTAGTGTATGAGAGCCGAAAGCTGAAGGATGTACAACGGTGATATGCCACCTACGAGAAATAATTATTGGATGTCGTTCATTGCTTACGCCTTTGGAGGCACTATCTGATGGGAACCCCATTCGTGGTCAAGATAGACAACACAGATGTTAGCAATTTCATGACCCAGCCGAAGTTGAATGATCGATAGGCCAGGTGGCAAGAACTCCTAGCGAACTTTCACTTTAACCTGGAGTATCAAAGTGGGAAGACGAATCATGTTGCTGATATGCTCAGTCGGAGAGCTGATCTAGCATCGGTGTGCCTACTCGCCACCCTAAGGGGGAGCGAAGTAGACACCACCATAAAAGACCAGATAGAGGATCTACTCATCAAGGATCCTGCTGCACAGTATTTGGTTAATTTGGTAGGACAGAGAAAGACTCACCAGTTCTACATAAAATATGGTTTCTTGAAAGTGAAAGGGCTCTTCAGGAGTTTATATTCCTAAAGAAGGATATATGCGAAGGACTCTTCAGGCGGAATGTCAGATACTTTATAGGCCGGCCATCCCGGTGAAGAACGCACCATGGCATTACTTCGTCGTACATATTATTGGCCTCAAATGGCCGATGACGTTGCTCAGCATGTGAAGACTTGTCTAGTATGCCAGAAGGATAAGTCGGACCACTTGACACAAGCGGGACTTTTGGAGCCACTAGGTGTCCCAAAGAGACCTTGGGAAAGCGTTTTCCTGGATTTCATCACTGGATTACCCATGGTAGGATATCTCACAATTATCTTGGTTGTTGTGGATCGTTTTTCCAAGTATGCTACTTTATAGAAGCCACATAATATATATCCGCAGAAGATACAGTTCGACTCTTCTTCTCTCATGTCGTCTAATATTGGGGTCTGCCTAAAGACATCATTAGTGATCGCGACTCACGCTTCACTAGCAAATTTTGGACCCAACTTTTTAAGTGCCTCAAGTCAAATTTGAGTCACAACTCAAGTTTTCATCCATAATCTGATGGTTACACGGAGCGGTTCAATGGCATGTTGGAGGAATATCTCCGCTACTTTGTAACATGATCGCAGAAGAACTGGGTGAAACTTCCGGATGCTGCTCAAATGTGTTTCAATTCACAAAAAAGATCTAGTACAAACAAAAATGCTTTTGAAATTGTTACCGGACAACAACCGCTACTCCCACACACCGTGAATGTACTGTACCAAACATGTCAAAATCTCCTCGAGTTGCTAGCTTCTCAAAAGAATGGAAGCAAAATTTAGAGATAGTGCGAGGCTATCTTGTCAGAGCCCAAAAGCGGATGAAGAGACATGCTGATCAAAATCATCGCTTTGTTGAATACCAAGTAGAGACAAAGTGATAGTCAAAATCCCAAAGCGGTATTTATTTGCAGGGGTCCGTGAAAATATATTGGACCCTTGTCCATTGAAAGGCGCATTGGGAAAGTTGCATATAAAGTCGATATCCCAGCTTGGTGGAAAATCCATCTCGTCTTACATGTCAGTCTTCTGAAACTTTTTCGGGAAGACATGGAGGATCCTTCACGGAGTCAGCTCACAATACCCAGTATTCGAGGCCACAATTCAACCAAGAAAGGGCTTGCTAAAGCTATTCTTGATGATCGAGTAATTCATGCCTCAAGAAAAGATCACCAAGAGTTCTTGGTAAAATGGCAGGGCTGTGATGCAGAGGAGAATACTTGGGAGAGGGGAACATACCTCAAAGCCTATAAGAGCCTAATTGATGATTACCTTGCAAGTAAGGCACCAAGGACGTTGTCAACTCAGGTGGGGGAGAATGTCATGGGCGGTTTTTCAGCCATGCCCCATGACCCCTTGGACACGCCCCATTGCGTCCTATCAAACCTCCCAACGCTTAGTGCCATGGACGGCCCCGTGGTCTTGGCTGCGCCAAGTGACAAGCGTGCATGTGCCTCTGTCGCCCCACCGATAGCCCTCGCCAGTGCCTAGCTGCAGGCAGATGCCAACAGTGCCGCTCATGCAGACAACGTCGCGCGCGCAGACCATGATGCCAAAGACAAGGTTGCTGACAATGGACCTATTTCTACCTTGTAGAATACTCAGTCCTTTTTATTGTAAATATAGAGTAGTTTTATTACATTTACTTCCATTATGATTCTCTAGCTTAGTTAGGTCAAGTCTTGTAACTTTGGTTTATTTTTTTAAGTACTATTAGGGGGGATCAAGCAATCAAACTTTCTAGCAAGCAAACAATTCTCTGTACTGGTATATCTCCCCCTCGATACCGTGTTGCCTTTATGTAATAGCTTTCATTGATGCAACAAGCTTTCTTTCATTCTCATTTCTGTTCTCTCAATTGTTGTTGACAATAATTTTCTCGTACGACACTGACAATTTTGTCTAGCGTACAAAGGGGACCTCAATTGGTGGATAGTAACTGTACTGATATTAATTGCTTAGCTTAAGTCGGTATGGAGTCACATCAGCTATAAATATTGACTAGGCTATAAGGAACGGAGTCAACAACTATGGACCACGACTACTATTGCCCTTCCAAGGAATCTCAAGAAGGCGACACGTAACAGTACTCTAGTTGAATTAATAAAAACAGAAAGATAACTTACAAATATCTAAAAAGGACCGGGCAGAATTTTACTGTCAAAGCAAAGGATAAATTCTTTGTTCTTCTTTTATTTTCTTCCTATTGTTAGTAGAAAGACATGTGTGGTTCGATTAGTATAATTATTGATAGCATTGTATTCGATATTTCAAGAAATACTAAAATTCTCTCTCAAATGAGGCATGTAAGGGAGTACTATGAAATAGTTTCTAAAGTTACAAAAGAAACTGTTTCTAAAGTTACAAAAGAAACTTCAAGATCATATTGGTTATGGGTTGAGAACGGAATTAAACTTCATGATATCGATCCTGTTGTTCCTATAACTCATAGGTGGAAATTTTTACTTTGGCTACACCATGTTCTTTTATTTTTATTTATTACTATTGCACAACTACTTGAGAAGAATATAAAAATTAAACAACAAATCCAACCTAGTGGACCACCTAAGTGATTGCTTATTACTAGTTATTAGCAATATTTTTTTTAAAATTTTATAAAGTGGGAGATTCTAGTGAAATCATAAATTGCATGTGCATTAATCTATAAATCGCCAATGTATTATTGTGATCATCTAAGTGATCTTCGATTAATCACTTATTAGTTATTACCAAGATCATTTTTTGTAAAGTAAGAGGTCCTGGTGAAGTTATAGATTGCATATATATTATTTTAAAAATCGCTCATGTATTACTTATGATCGAGTAATTAATTTTCGGTTGATCGCTTATTAGTTTACCATGATCCTTTTTTATGAAGTGAGAGATCCTAGTGAAATCATGTATTACCTATATTTTATATAAAAATCACTCGTGTGTTATTTATGATCGCCTAAGTGGTCTCCGGTTAATCACTTATTACTTATTACGAGAATCTTTTATTATAAAGTGGAAAATCTTGGTGAATTCATAAATCGTCTATGTGTTATCTAGTAACCGCCTACGTATTATTTATAATCGCCTACCAAGAAATAGATAAGCAATATATATAGGCGATTATATCCATTCTTATGCGATTTTGTGAAACACATCTTAGACGATTCAATGTCATAGTATGAAAATCAAAAGAATTTCATCGTTAACAACAAATAATCTCAATAGGCGATTTGTTACATATAATTGGTGATTTCAGATATAGCATTGACAATGATGTTCATCTTAAAGTAATCTTATTATTTCGTGTATTTTAATAATTTAAAATATTTACTTATTTATAAATTTTTTAAAATCATAGATTACAAATAACTACATCATATTCCGAAAAGAATATTACATAAAAGACTTAACATTATACACTATATAGTTAGATTACGTACATGAATAACTTTATCATTATACTTCACAACTTTTAAATTGTTTGACAAACTTAAATATTTTAAAGAAAAAAGAACTTGTTTAAGTATGTTGAGATCACAACCTCTAAAATATTTTTCAATTTGAAGATCGTTTTTTGTTATAACACAAGAGATTATATTCATTTTTAAGCGGTTTTGTGAAACACAATTTAAGCGATTCAACTTTATACATGTGAATCAAAAGAATTTCTTTCTTTATAACATCAAATATTAGTAATTAAATAGGAGATTGCATATACTTAGGTGATTCTCGATATATAAATAGGCAATTCAGACATAAGATAAGCGATTAAATTTATTCTTAGATGGCATCTTATTATTTCATCTTTTTTAATTGTTTTGAAACATTTACTTCTTTTCTTATACATAATTCATAGTTGGAGGGGGAGTTTGATTTTTAAAGTAAAGTTGACGGGTGCAAATAATTTTCATCATTTTAAATATTAAGAAATTGATCTTCAAATTTCCATTGACTCTCGTATGAATCTCGCCATTCTTTCGGGACGCATGAAATAAAACTTTTAAATTTTCAGCCAAGCTTAGTACAACCACAACAAAAACAACAAATTACAACAACAAAAAACTCAGTAAAATCCCACAATAACAAATCAAGCATGTAAAATTTCTCTCTTAAACACTTCAAAATTTTTGTTTGCCAAAGTA